ACTGTGGCAAAAAACAGATTTCTATCAAGTCTTTGAGTTACTATCACTGCAAATTTTATTCAAGTAGCGCTAAGCCAAGTTATGTTAGATACTGTATAAATTAAGAACAAGGGTTTTGTTTTGTTTTTGGCAATTCTATCATTTGTTGCAATAGGAATGCRGAACTGTATACAATTCCCCCACTGGTTGATGAAGAAATCCGTGCAGGGTGTCTCAGCACAACTTATTCTGTGGCTAGCTCAGAAGACAGAACTTGGTGACAGCTCTATTTTTATTGCTGTTGATAACTTTGAAAGACTGAGCTGTGAGACCTTATTTGCATATCTGCATAGAATACAATAATTAAAAAGATTGATCTTTAAAGCTGTAATTGCAAAATATTCATGTTAATTATATGCATTTATGCTAATAGTTATTTTATAGCACAGATTAGACCACTGGTGAAAATTTGGCTTAAATTACACAGTCTGAAATAACTCTGACATACTGGGTATATTTAGACTTTGATTCCCCTTTCCATTTGCTTTTGTTTCAGACTTCTGCAAACTGACCCTGTGGTGGGGKCACTCTTTTCTGTACCTCAAAACAGATGTCAGGTACTACAGTTACAAAATAGTCCACTATTACAGGTTGGCTGACTGTGGCTTTTCCTGGGTCCCTCTGCACATGTGCCCAGGACTGTGAACACGGAGCGGGAGGAGAGAAGGCAAACCCAGCTAAGTGCAGGAACTCCCATCAGTGTGTGACATGACAGATAGACAGACCTGGTCCAGGGGATGATGGATTCTGGGGCTCAACCTGTTCATCAATAGTCAGCTGGATTTTGTAACATGGTGTTCTAAGGTAAAGAGTGTCCTTTTTTTTTTTTGAAACCAGCTTGTGATGGTAGTTGCTTTTTTAGGAGGAACAAATGTAATATTGCTGCCCAAGGCAGCAGTCAGCTTTTGGATCCCAGCATACCAGTAACTCTTCTGTACCTAGCATAAAAGAAAATCACTTATCTAACAGTGGCTGTAATCAGAGTTAAATATTTCATAATTACTTGTTCTGCATGAATTTAGGCCATAACATGTGCACTGTGCGTTACTGGATACAGTAAGAGAMCAAAAGTAGCCAAAATTGGTGAAATGATGATTGTTTCCATTTTGTTTTCATAAGGTTTGTAAATAGGGCTCTGAGTTCACAAAGCAGAACACACTGTAGATTGCAGCAGAGCCACAGAGCTTGTGTTTTTGTGTTTGTGACATACATTCCTCTTCTCTGAAACTATATAGCTTGTGCTAAAGTTGTTTCTCTTGGGGTGTGATATAAAAACTGACCTGCTGGCAAAAATGCAAGGCAGTTYCAAGGAAAGCACCATGGCAGATTGACTGCTAGTATTTATTTTGAAGTACTTAATAGATAGCAAAATGTACTCAGCCTTTTTYATACAATGTTTCAGCAGCCACTTGTTAAAACACCTATTAAGAAACATCCTCCTAATTCAGAGATGAGAACCCTGCCTTCAGTGCAATAGCACAAACAACCTTGCTGTACTCCTTAGGGCTATAAGAGGCTCCTGCAAATGCACAAGTTTGTAAATAGGCTAGAGAGATTTTTCTCKGCTAGTTTCCAATATATTAAGATATCTGAGTCTATAGGGCAAATTGTTCTATTATGCAACAATCAACTGATTGTTTAGAGTTTCTATATTTACCTTCCTATGCAACTAATATTTTCCACTGATTCTTGAAGGCTTGTTGGAAACTAGAACTCTTTTCCTTTCAAGTTCTTGAGGACAGATGTGTGTATGTATTTGAAACAAAGTCGTGTTTCTCTGTGTTGTGGTGATGGAAAGGAGAAAGTCTAATAAACGTTATTTTTAGCTTCATGAGTCATTCCTACRTATAGTTGTCATAGCTTCTGTGCACATTCTTACTTAATTTGGTTTGCCATCCCAGCTGGTCCAGTAGTTTGCTTAGTACTTGCAAAGACATTTCTCCTGTGAATAGGTGTATAGGAGTAGAGTTATGGAGGGCAAGGGAAATTTTGTAGTACATGTGTTTAATTTACAAGCACATTATATTTCAGTTGCGCATTCAACAAGGAGTTGGAGAGACTTTTAAAGGCTTCTTCTAGCTGAAATCATTCTGGATGCCAAGACTGCATTGCCATTCTTCTGTTTCTAGGTTAGGATCCCAGCTACATCATGGTTTATGGAATGATAATGACTTGTTAGATACATCCATAAGATCATTCACAAGAATATTGCTTCTCTAGATTTAGCAGGAGTATAGAAAGCAGTAAATTTTCATATTAGAAATTCACACTGACTTAAATGATTTCATGCATTTTTACCTCACCATCTGCTTTATCTGAAGCTAAATTGATTTGTATAACATAGTGCTACTTTMATTAGATAATAAGATATACCCTCTTTCAAAAAGTTGTGCCTCCTGTACTCTTRTCTCTCCTAAACAAAATGGAACCAGGGCTCTTGACCATTTAAATCACTCTGGGTTAGAATAACAAAAAGGGCTGAAGTAAGGTAGGCAGTTACCTATCCCAGAATAAATGACTCTAGTGAAGATCTGTTTATTTGAAACTGTAGCCAGGTAAGGAGTAGCCTGCAGGATGCTTTTTATTCTTACTGTGCTCAGTCTTTGTGAACTGAGCCCCAGATCAGCTAAGCATTCAGGCATAGAGGATGAAATGGAACTACTGGTGTATGGGAGATCCAACCAATTACACAAAAATATGAACAAAAGCAGCACAAGAACAAAAAATGTTCAAGCATCCATTATAAAACAGTTCCAATTTCTTTTTTAAATGTCAAGTGCAAAATATATAGCTTACATGCAAATAACACTGGAGTGTTGTTGCTAATATACTCCCAAAATTACCTTTTCTTAGCATGACCTTTCTTGCTAACAATAACTTATTTTAATTAAATCTCTGGCCATTTTGATTTCATGCCAAATATACCCATGCCATATATTACTGCATTTTCATGTGGGTAGAAAAAGTTTAAAGGTTATAAGCTTAAGTACTTTCTTGAGTTAAACTTTTTTTAAGCAACTATGCTAAGGTTATAGTACCTACTGGTTTGTACAAACAAGGCTTTTCCAAGTTATGAAAAGAACTTTTGCYGAGTTCTACATAGCAGAATCAGCACAGTATTTGGGAAGGCTTTAAATTTAGTGAATCACTCTTGTTTGCTTTCTTAGCAATTTTGTGTTTAGTGCTGCTTCCCTAGGAGGGAAGACCCCTCTTTTACTCAGCAAGGTCAAAGCATATTCCCATTTGCTTTCTCAGGAAAAATGTGTGACAAACTAGTGTTTTTAAATGGAGGRGGCAAAATACATTCTACTACAATGGCATGAAAAAGATATTTTGGAGTTTTTGAAGCTTTTTTCCTTTTTCAGAGGGAAGCAGTGCATTAAATGTTCAGGAAATGTCAGCTTTTCTACGTGGAGATAGTACTTTTGTTGATTGGTGTCTCTGTGATGAAGTGGAGTGACTCTTGGAGCAAGTTCCCTGAAGGAATGAGATAGGGAAGGTCTGTAGTGAGAACCTGTCTGCCCGAGACCCCTTTCAGCACGTGCACATATGGCCTCTTTGCTCTACCACATGCTTGTCATCAGTTACTGCTGCTGCTTAAATGTCTCYGAGGGCCCCTGAAACCAGGATATCCTCAATTCTCTTTGCAACATCCTGCCTTGGTTTTATTTTTATATTTCATAATGCATTCTGGAAACTGGCAGCTCTGAGCTTAGTGGTAATAAGTTGGTAATATGGGACACCCTTGGAGTATGAGAAATAAAGATTTATTTCTCAATCAGCTTTAGCAGCCTCTCTACTGGAATTCACAGTATTTTTTAAAGGAATTACTAAGTACACAAAAATATGGAGGTCTAGACTTTCATCTGCTGAGGTTTTCTGAGGTGCACTCACCTGTGCAGGTGAGAGCAGCTCTGGAAAAGTGTTTGGGAAATGACCTCCCGACACTGACCTCTCCTGTCAGCAGAGACTGAAAGGTAGAAAGAATGAATTCTTGGAGGCAGAGGAGCTTTCCTRTAATTACTTCCTTGCTTACTGGCCTTCTAATAATATGTTGAAGGTGGCGGTTGCCTTACATCAAGTCAAAATGCTACAGCTGCTGTTGCTGCTGTAGCAGTGTGGCAAATCAAGAAAGAATTAGTATTAAATGTCTTAAAAGCATAAATCAATTTGAAAGTTTACAGCAGATGTGAAGTCTAGATGGAGATTATTTTGATACCTGAAGATTTTGATATAGATATTAGACTAGTTTTTGGTGTTTTGTTTTTAAAAATGAATTTATAAATACCCTATATAACTAACTCAGTGGATGCCCTGAGGGGCAAGTAACTTGACAATGTGATGCTACTTGCTGTGTCTTCAAGATTCTGTAAAGTGCATTTTAGTTCAATGCATTTCAATCTGGAGCCTGAATGGTCTCTGTGAAGGAGATATCTGACTGAAGTATTAATACTAGAAAATGCTGTAGCTCCCAGTAATAACAGGGTTTCCAGAACTTTTGGAATTTATTTGAGGACTTAAATGGTATTTAAACAAATTTTCTTGTCAGATATCAGATTCTAATAGCATGAGTTKGTGCCTGAGTGTGTGTTTGTCCTGTAGAACAATAAGGAAAGCAAATGAGGGAAATGCTGTGACATAACCACAGCTATACCTTGACTTAAGATAAAGGAGATATCAGGCCGGGGAAGAACACCAGAAATGAAGTGTATCCTACTAAGCTGTGGGTGACTAGAAGCAATTTTTAATCAGAATGAGCACTTGCTTCACATCAGTGCATTTCTAAATAGAGTAAGAAACAGCCCCATGGCAGTGTGTTTATAAAAAGAAAAATAGTAGAGAAAAACAAAAAGGAAAGCCAAGAGCATTATTCTGCAGTTGCAGCCAGTCATGTGAATAGAAGCTTAACAGTTTAATTATGTTTGTTTGTGGGCTCTATTTTGTTTTTCTTGAACTTTCAGAGAAATTTCCCATCACTTGCTATTGGRGCTACCAGGAACATTTTCAAGAGAAGTTTGGCCTCTGACCAGAGACTGAGACACTTAAGACTTCTGCAGGCTGGGACTGAAACCTGCAAATGAAGAAATGTAAGCTGGAAGTTTCTTTGCTTTCTAAAAGCTGTCAAGCTGTGTAGAGCTGCCAGGAAACTTAAACTTGGCTCAGTAACAGCTTGTTTTAGGACACTTGCAAGGACAAAGCAGTGGTTTGGGCAGTTCTTGTGTCCCCTGATGAGACAACTACGTCTCATAAAGTTTTTTGAAAAAGAAATGGGAGATGAAGAGAGACAATTTAGATTTTCCACTACAAGCAGCTCTAGAATAAATCCCAGAAAACCAAAACAATCTCTTCTTCATTTTGAAGAATAGTATCRACATGTAAAAGAATTCATGTGAAAACCTGTAATGATATAAAACTTCTGAGTGTCTTGCAGCCACAACTCCATAAAGCACTCAATTTGCAAGCTAAAATTTGCCTGGCACTAATTGACTAGACTGATTAGATCTTTAAAGGTGCATTTAACCTTTTTACCTTACTAGAAAAGAGAGAGAATCTGAATTTTTGTCATGCTAGCTCCAAACTGTTGCAATGTCACCTTCCCTTTTGATTCCCTGATGTGGTTGAACAGAGAATCCACAGATAAAGGACTGGGGGAAGAAGGAGGAGGAGGAAGTTTTGCAAATTGGGTTTTTCTGCAGCTAGCAGTTCATACCAGGAGTATTCCCAAGTCTAAAAAATCTGTTGTGAATTCACCTTCTTTTGGGCTATGGTATCCTGTTCAYGTGATAATGAAGAAAAGTAATGAATCATGTATTCTGCAGCATATAGGTGCCCTGAATCCTTGGCCATTTTGTAGCCTACAGCTCTTATACTTCCAGAGACAGAATTGCTATTCAGAAAAAGTGTTTTTGAAAGCAATAAGGAATAAATTGCATCACTGTAGAAGGACTATTTGTGTTTCAGGTGACTGGAAAGAGCAATCTGTGCTCTTCGAAAATAAAATGCTGAATATCTCCTCCAACATGGATGAAGCAATGTAGAGAAGAGACTTCCTGTGACAGAAGGTTTAACTTAGCTGCTGTTTGGTAAGTCAGGGGTTAATGCTATTCCCTTGAATGTAGAAACAAGCAAGTCATGCAGTGCTTTCCATCCTCCCTGCTAGTTATTCCTGTTTCATAAATGAAGCGATTAAAATGCCAATAAAGACCAATGGCCCATCTAATCTGGTGTCCTTGCACCAGTAGGAATTAAAGCCCAATGTTTCTTAAGATAGTGAAGTAAATTCATAAAGTATGCAAAGAAACATTTGCAGCATATGGGAAAAATATGTCGCATCTCAAATGGTGATCATTTTGTTAGCATAGTAACAGTTTTCAGGTAAGAATATTTGTAAGAGTCTTGAGGTATAGGGAACACTTATAGATCTACATAAATGCATAATAATAGTGCTCTTAGCCATTAGATTTGGTAGACCTTGTAATTTAATCTTAGCTCGTGCAGTGTGTATGCAGGTGATACTCTTCAATATGCACAACCCTACTAYTTGCCACAAAATGTCATGCTATGGTGGTTTTAGTATCCTTCCAAATAAAATAGAACACACACGAGAGTCACCTTTACATGCAAATAAAGACTCTAGCTGTAAGAAAGTGAAGTTTAAAGAGAAGTAAGGACAAGTAAGTTTTATATCATTGCAAGAATCCTAGGCATATTCAGCTTTTTGGAGAAGTGTGGACTGCTAGGAAAAGTTAGACATAAATTCTTTGACTCAAGATTGTACTTCTCATGCTCCATAGTGGTTTTAGACTCTTCTGATGCCTGACAGCAGAATTTTGCTCAGTAATGTTTCCTTATCTTATGCCTCTTTTTTTCTATTTCTTTGTGTTATATAAAATCCAGATAAACACAAACAAGGCTCACATAAACAATAGCCCCCTCCTTATGGGGTAAATGGAGTCAGAATATACACAGAATTTGCTCTAAGTGGAGACTTACATTTATGCTGAAACTTTTCAACATTTACCCACCAAATTTACACTGCTTCTTGAATATACCAAATATTGTCCAYATCCTGAAAACAATGTTTAAAACTGAGGCATGGAGAATTCTCCAGAACTGGGAAATCTGATTTCAAAAATCTTGTAAAATTACTCAAAGTGATGGAAAGGGAATTACACTTAAATAGTTRTTTTTCAGAAATTTTTGCCTGTTTTGGCATATTGGTAGCAATGTCTTCTATTTTCTTGTGTGCGAGACTTCAGTGTGTGTATGTGCAACATGAGAAAATATTTCTACCCATAAAATGCGTGATAAGTAACCAGCTGTCTAGCTAATGCATGCACACAATCTCTTGATTATGCACAGAATGGAAGATCTTYTCCAACCATAATGATATTGTGATTCTATGATTAGAAAATTGGCTTTGTTATAGAAAGGATAGGSGAAAAAGAGTCTTTTCTTTTTCCCAGTAGTTGTGTTAGAATTTTCCCTATTTTTTATTAGATATATGTATTGGTAAAGCATTTGATTTAGCCGTTCTGGTCTCAGTTTAACAAACCATTTGCTTAACTTTAAATTCAGAATCAGTTCCACTGACTTGAATAAGACTACAGAAATGCTTCAGTGTATAAGTTGAAGCCCCCTGCTAAACTGCAGCCAAAAATACTGTAAAGATTAATGTGTTTCAATTTGAAGAGACATGTTTTAAGACCAACAGCAACCATGGTATCCCTGGTATTCCCTAGCATATTTGTGTATCAAAGTCATTTTACAGTGCTACATTCTGCTAAGGAATTTTAGCCTAATGCTTATCCACTGACATTATTAAAGTCTAAACAGCAAAAAATATCATATATGCTGAGATTAGAAGATTGCAGTCTTAATTCCTTCTCTTTAAAAAAAAAAAAGCACATTTCGTATGGTGTCTATATAGTATTGTGAGAGAGTATGTGAAGCTAAGGATAATTCTGAGTATATCTTTATAGGAAGGATAGGTAAACACTTTCAAAACTTTCTTGATCTTCCTTTTGAGTGTTCTCCTTTAAGCTCATTAATAGTTTATGTTAATGTGCTTTAAAGAGTGGGTTTCTTCCTTGATGCTTAATTGCATTATATATAGAAAATCTGCTTTTCTTAGTTCCATTTTCACTGAGCATACAGGAAGCATGGCATGCTGTAAAGCAGAACTATCAGGTCAGTTGGAATCAGTAAGAGCAGCTGGTAGGGAATGCTTTGGATTAGTTTAGCCAACCATCAGCCATCATCCTACTTCAGCTATGGCATCTTTCCTGTGTCTCTGGCTTCAGAGAGTGTAAATTGTGTATTACATTGCTTCCAAAACTGGTCTTGTGGATCAAAAGATTTTTGACTGCTCAGAGACTGCCAAGGTTGAAAGAATTAGGGGAAAAAAAAAAAAAAAAAAAACAAGCCCCAACAATATTGCACTTTTTCTCTTTTTTCTCTTGGGACTTCCTGGTTTCACATTTCCTTAGGTTGGTGGCAAAACCAGAATGAGCAATATGCAGAGTGGAAAGGAGTGACCCATATGTATACTAGTTGACGCAGATGCAATGTGTAGAATTTAAAAAATGAGCAATTTAAAAAATGAGGAGCCCTCACACCTACAGTGTTGTGAAGTCTGAGAGTAAAAATGATAGAATTTAGGAGCTTCCCCCTCTACTCCCTTTCCCTCACTTTGCATACAAGACTAGTAATTCTGTTACAGTAATGTGGCTGTGCTAAAGACATTTTTGCTATAGGATCAGAAGGGTTCCTGTTGCAGTTAGTAGTGAGAAACCTTTACAAATGTCCTTGGGGTAAAAGGACTTCTAAGTAATTATTATATTTGCACAGGAATTGGTTATAATTACTGGACTTCCCGAAAATGATTTTCAGAGGAAATCAGTGTAGCCAATTGCATTACTACCTCCTCAGATCAATATTATATTAGTCCCAGAACATGCATACCCACAGGGCAAAGTAGCAAACTATTAGCATTTTATTAACAATTTCCCACATCCCAAGACTATTACTCAAATGATTGATGACTGAGRCTGGACATACCTTCAAATGCTCATGAACAACTAATAAATTCTTTTTGTTTTTTAATTTCTTCCTTTTCATTGTCTTTCTTACCAAATTTCCCATGATTTTTGAATAACAGTGAGTTCAGCAACAGTGTAACTACTTCCAATGTATTTTGCTATTTGTGTTAATACTGATTGGGGGGGGGGGAACTGATTTCAGATTATATCCAGACTGACTCTTGCTTTTCTTTCTTGCTGGATAGCTAAAATTGCTGCTGATTAGTGGCAGATTTGCAACTGAATGAATTTGTGCATGGTTCCAGTTCATTTGTAAAGCCTTTTCTTTCTTCTTTTAGGAGTACTGCTGTCAGAGTGGAACTTTAAGCCCTTCCCCACTCAGACAACATGTAATTTCAGATAAAAGCTCTRTATTGTAGCATTTCATGAACAATCCAGTCACTCTTATGTCTGTAACAAAGAGGATGTCATAAAAGTAGTTATGTGATGACACTAAAGAAGTTGAAATACCTTAAGAGTGGCTGGTTGTTACTCATAGCAGAACTCTGAGCCCTATGTCAAAGGAGTCRTCTTTGCTGTGAGAGATAAGTGAAAATGACCGAAGCCAGCAAAGGAAAAATCAGACCATTAGGTAAACCATTCAGTAAAAAAAAAATAATGTATTCAGTATTTTCGTTTCTTATACTACAGTAGCAGCTACCATTAAGAGGAGCAGTGTTTTTGGAGMCTTACCTTAGGCTATTTCCACTTTTTATTCATGGTGACTGAATTAGGAATGTGAGCAGGCTCAAACTGAATTTGAAGTGAAGGAAAGTAATATTGGATACTAATTTGTATACTGATGCTTCAGCTGATCAGATGTTTTAGCATTTGATTTAAAGTCCATGTGGAGATGTGGAGATCTCCCACCCAAGTCTGTAGTTGTTGTGCCARACTAAGGTGTTCTTGCTAACTGCAGAGTGTAAGAATATCAGGCATATGATGCTAAAGAAACACAAATGAGAAAAAATGGAAGAGGATTTAAAAGTAAAATGAGATATGTGAAAACTGTAATGTTACAGTTAAAAATAACCAAAGAATTGATGGATTTGGAGCGCATCTCTCAATAAAAAAAAAAAAAAACTGCATTATATGAATGGATAATTGTGTTGGCATGGGAAATTATTATTTCCTAGCTTCAAATACTGTGAATAGCCTCTCTTACATTCTTACATGTCATGGTGGAATACACCTGCATTTTCCAGAGTTGGGGAATTGCTGAGCTAGCTGTAGCTTTTCACATCCAGACCTGGCAGTAGTGTGATACTGTGGTGGAAGGTGGTTAATCATGGTGAGACACAAGGCTTATTTGCTGAAGCACCATCACTCACCTGCCCTGCTTTCAGGAAGCCAGACTATAGCTTTTGTTTTAATGCACATACTATCCGGTCTCTTGACATATCTGGAATGATCTTAAGGACTTGGGGAAGCTCGACAGACTCAAAATGGAGTAGATGTACCTATGAGTATAGATACACTACCATCTGGGGAAATCTTTTTGGGATCAGAGTTTCTTTAAGAACTGTTCCAAATATTCTGTAGTGAATTTTTGTTTACAAATGTGCATTGTGTCTTAGACTCTTTATTTCCTAGTTGATAAAACTAGAATCCTAGTCTGCACTCATTATCTCTTGAGGGGTATAAGCACGTACAGAAACATTTGTAATTTGTCATCTTGGTTCATTCTGATGCRTTCTTTTAGTGTTTGTAGCATGAGAATGGAGAGATGTAGAAGGCTGGTGTTAGTGCTGAAGCTGCAGGTACATGCTCATCTCTTCTGATCTGGAAAGGGGAATCTGAGAATATATTCTGTCCTGTGTCTTACCTGTTACACTGAGATTCATTGAAATATATCACATTCATTGCTAGTCACCACAGGCATCAGTTTCCTTATTGATGTTGAATGGGATATGCATGAGAAACCAGCAACTAGGGAGACAGAAGAGTTAAAACKGAAGATTTTAGTGAAGGTGTAAGGAAAATGAATTTGATGCTTAGGAGTT